CCACAGCATACTGGATTTAAATCCCCTTAGTCCTGTGAAAAACAAGGGAGAAGATAAAAACGTGGTCCTGACACCTCAGTGGCCTCCAAAGCTCAGGTTTCGCTACCACGGTGACACCAGCAACCCAAAACTGGCACTGCCTGATGCCAATCCAAGAACCCTCTTGGCACAGCGTGTCACAGACAGGCAGCATCTCCTGCCAGGCCCATTTCTTACCCTGCAATTTTAGTTGCTGCTGTTTATTAGCAAGTGTCAGCACCTGAGCAGAGTGCAGAGCCCTGAACTGACAACTGTGGGCACAGAAAGACGACTGCTTTGAGCAAGATCAGCCAGAATTCCTCAAAGAACACTTCCTGAAATTCAGTGCACCGAAGTCTTTTTTGACCAAGTCTTTGTTTTGAAACCAAATCACTGGCATTTTAAACCTAAATGTGAAATGCCATCACCAACTCCAGCAAGAGAAACACAGGGAATAACATCACATGATCTTCATCTCACTACCCCACACAGCAGAAATCAAACAACCATCTCTAGAGCAGAGGCTTTACACTTGAAATAACCCTTCTGGAAATGAGCTCAGAGAGATTCCCCTCCCTTTGCTAAAGGGCTTCCAGTGGAGTTTCAAGGGACATGCTTTGCCACTAACACAGCTTGAAAACCTCTTTTCATTCCCTCAATCCCTTCTTTAGATGTCTGGACTTTTACTCCTTTAAACTAAAGTCACCATGGTGGAATAAACATGAGAGAGCTTCCTAGGAAGAGATCTCTGCCTCAGTTCACTGGTACAACACACAGAGCCTCTGGCAGGTACAATTCAAACTGCTGAAGCTGAGACACAAAAGCACCTTCTCAAGTGACAGCCAGGCAGCAGCAACAACGGAAATTCACAACTACAAATCCCCAGCACCTCCATGGGCAAGGTAAAAGTTGGATTTGTCTCTACCAGCAAAACAAAAACAAGGCACAGGAATGGCTGAGGCATCAGAGAAGCTCTCAAAGCCTCACCACTGCCCTGACTTTGGATCTGAGCTGTCAGCAGCTCCTGTTCAGATTGCTGTGTGAACACAACATGGCTCTGTGTCTTTGGAAGTATTCTGGAAAGTCACTGTAACTACAGAGTACAATAAAAACAACAATGGACCACTAATATAGAAAACTCTGATCTTGGGAGACAAGCAGAAAATTCCACTATCTCCCTTCGAGATTGGTCTAGACTGCAGTAAGGATGAAGTGCTGTTCAGTGACCTTTTGTGATGTGATTTCTTTGGAAAATTGTCTTGAAGTTCACCGCAAATGATTTCAATTTTAGCAGTTACATAAACTAATCAAGGGCAGGGTTTCAAACACAGACAAGCAGTTAAACGCCAAGTCAGTGGAGTGAAGGAATAAAGATGGTCTTTTCCCTGCATTTGTAAGGAATTCAGCCCAGCATCCACCTCTGCAGATAACCTAGTAATTATCACAGGCCTAAATGCAGCACAACTCGAGATCCTTTACAAGTAGGACACTTCTCAGTTCAACAATGACAGCAAAAAAATGCAACAGGAACAACTCATCACTTTAATTTGGTTTTAAGTAGGAACACTTGCTGCCCTTCCCCACAACCCTTAAACTGGCCAGAGTTCAAATGTCATACTTGAAGGACTGGATTAATTAATTACAATCCCTCCTCCTGTGTGGCTTTTCCTTCCAGATAATTACACCTGCCATATTCCTCCTTTAGCAATGAACAGTGTCAGGGACATCCACGCACAGAACAGGATGACACCTTTATAATGAGTAAAAATTACACCTACACTTGCAGCACAAACCCAGACCTTGCTAGAAATGCCCCCTTTACTGCTTTCCCCAGTGCCCCAGTACTGCCATGACCACTCTTTAATGTGACAGCACCTCTCTAACAGCCCAAAATTAAGTTCAAGGCTCCTCCTTTCCGTTTCACTCCACTTCTGAGGCATCACAATTCTAAAAATCTGAGTGACCAGACCTTGCCAGCAAGAGGGAAAACTATTTCAATTCCAACTGCACTGGAGACCCAGAGCCCATCTCAAACAGCTCAGGAGGGAGCTGTTCAAGTGCCTCTGCCTCCAGTGCATTCCACCACACGCACATCTATTGACCAGGAGAACAAAACCTGCCCGTGCTGTACCTGCCTGGCTCCCCCAGCAGCCACAGGACCTCGAACCCTTCCGGAAAAGGAGGTCAGAGTCCAGCAGAGCTGCCAGACACACACCCCCAGCCACTGAGCTGGAACGAGGCACTTACCCATCTCTACCTTTACTGACGATCTTCACTTCAAAGTAATAAATGCCACAGGCTGCAGGGATGGGGTGTGTGGCCCTGACCGAGGCAGCATCTTTGTGATTTTTACCGTGACCTAAGAAAGAACAGAAATGTAAGTACTGAGGGGATGTGGCCTCTCACACACCCTGATCTAAAGCCCTGCTGCCTGAGCCTGGCAGGGACCTGCTTCTACACGGAGCCAGCCATTTAAAGCACACTTTTCAGAGAACCAGCACATACAGCCCTGCACTGCCACCAGGGACAATCCCTGCACGACCAGCTCTGTAGTTTTCCCTTTGTTTTCACTGTGGAGTTTCTGAGAAAGACTGTCAGTGCCACCTCTCCCCCTCCCCACAGACGTAATTTGAAGACCAACCAACGTACACAAACAGAAGACAAAAATGATTACACAAGAGGGGAATGACATCAGTGTTTACTAACCAGGGAGGAAAAGGAATAATCGGTTCTCCACTGGGTGGGTAGGGAGGACAGCTCCAACAGCGAGCAAGCAAAACATCACACTCCAAGCCTGTGAGCGGCTATTCGGTGTAAGCCCGAGCAGCCAAAGCCCCAGTTACGCGGCGTGTCGAGGCCATCCGGCCCCTTGGCCGGGTTTTAAGCCGGATGACAGAGTAAACAGGCGGTCTGGCTACACCCGGGCCCGGGCGGGCGACACTGCACAGCGTTATATAAGGCCACACACTCCGCCGGGGAGAGCCCCGGGCCCCATCGCCTCCGCCCCCGAGCCCGGGCAGCCCCGCCGGGCCCCCGGGCCGAGCTCGGTCCCGCCCGGCTCCCGCCGGTCACCGCCCGCGGGGCCCCTTCCCCGGGGCCGCCGGATCCGCCGCCGGCCCGGCCCGCGCCCGGCGGGCCCCGCGGAGCGGCCGCCCCGCTCCGGGCCGAGGCCGAACCCGGCGCCGCCGCCCCAGCCCGGCACCTTTGTAGTGGACGCGCAGGTTGCCCTGTGAGAGGCCGATGTAGTTGTACTTGTCCTTGGGGCTCCAGGAGCGCGGCAGCGGCGTCTCGTCCTGGTTGACGGCGGGGTAGAGGCGGCGGAGGCGCCGGCTCAGCTCCTGCTCCTCGGGCGGCCCCGGCGGCGCCGCGTCCCCGCCGTGCGGGCTCCCCGCGCCCGCCTCCGCCATCTTGGACCCGCTTTGTGTCAGCGGGCGGGGAGCGGGGCCCGGCCGCGGCTGGCGGCCAATGGGCTGCGAGCGTGCCCACAATGGGGCCGCGCCGCCCGACGGGAAGTGGAGTCCGCACCGCGCATCCCCGCCCGCTGGTGGCGCTTGCCCAGACTACAACTCCCGAGAGGCCGCGCGTTCGAAGCCCCGTCCCGCCCCCCAGCGCGCTGCACGCTGGGAGCTGTGTCCCCGTCTCGCTCCGGTCCCGTCAGCGCAGCCGAGAACGGGACTCCCATTCCCAGCGTGCTCCGCGACACGGCGGAGCTCAAGGGCCGCCCCGCGCCTGCAGGCGCCCGCCGGCCGCCTCCGCGCACGGGCCGGGTTCGGCCGCCGCGCGGCGCCCGCGCGTCAGGCGCTGCGTGGGCAGCTATGAGGGCGCGCGAGGGGGTCCTGCGGGCGGTGACGTTGCCATGGCGACGGGTAAACGGAGTGCGCGCGGCGGGAGCGGGAGGGAAGAACAAACCGGGACTAAGGAACAAACCGGGACTGAAGAACAAACCGGGACTGAAGAACAAACTGGGACTAAGGAACAAACCGGGACTGAAGAACAAACCGGGACTAAAGAACAAACCGAGATCAGCCGGGAGGGGCTCCGGGAACTCACACCGGGAATAACCATCCCGGAGCTCAGAGGGCAGGGATGAGGGCCCCGCCTGACTCGGTGCAGCTCCCAGAGGCTCCTCCGGCTCCCAGCTGGGTCCAACCTGAGCCCTGGACTGGATCTGTTCTCCACTGCATGCTGCATGATTTTCCCTTCCCTGAGAGAATATGTATATATATTTATATTTAGACTTTGTATATATATAAATATATAAAAATCTATTTTTATATGTATTTTTCTATATATTGACACTACAGTAAAAACCTTAAAATTCCTGCTGTGAAGCCACAGGCAGCAGGAAGAAAAACCAGATCCTTGAGCTGACTTATGCTATGGGTTCATTCTTAGGTCTATGACACACATAATTCCATGTCTCCATTCTTTTCCCATGTCTCTGTAGCAATAAACAGGCCCTTGTCACCATTCCAAAGCCATGATTGTCAGAGCAACTGGAGTCCTACTTAAGTGAAGAGCTGCAGCCTCTTGCTCTGACTGAAGAGAGCTCCCCAGGAAGACACTGAAGGTGATGAAAATCACACAAGAGAAAGTTCAATCCCCATTTCCATCCCTCCGAGCCTGGTACGTGTGACAAAACATCATTCTTCCCCACCTTCTGAACTGTTTTACAAAAGGTCACAGTCCTTTGCTGGGTCTGACCTCATTCCAGGCATGGTTTAGGTTCTGTACAATCCTACACCGGTTTTGTTCTGTCTCCCTGCGTGAGGAGCACGAGGGAGCACAGCACAGACCACCTGTATGGGACCACCGTGGCTCCCCGGGGGGGCTGAGCCACAGAAACCACCACGGGTGTGTCAAACACAAGCCCCTGGTTGGCACGAAGAGCATCACCACGGCTAAAGGCCTGTCAGGAACATCCTGAACACCGCAGTGCAGCAGCCTCTCAGGTCCCTGGCATAAGCAGCGCTTGCATCATGCAGAATACATATGAAATTTTATTTCTCAGAGCTGTACAAGTATTCAGAGGTAACATAAAAAATTATGGGTAGTCAAACTGCGTGTAACAAGGGCTGGTGAGACCCAGCAGGGAGGGGTAAAGGCCACAGCACGACCAGCCCTTGCTCAGGAGAACGTTGAGCAGTCCCTGCCCGACTGGTTCCGTGTGGAAAACCATCACAGGGAGCAGGGACATGGAACACCCCAGAGGCAGCCCCTGGGAGCAGACCGTGAGCACCCCACAGGGGTCAGGGCTGCACCTTCACATCAGGGGATCACTTTGTTTCCACTCACAGCGACTGGAATCAGGAGCTTCCTGTACTCCAGGGGGAGGTGACGCTCTATCAGCACATTCAGTGGCATCTTGTCCGTCACCAGCCCTTGTCTGTGGCCAAGAAGAGAAGAGCAGAGAAGAAACAGAGCTGTTAGTGCAGAGTCTTTCCAGTCAGCATCAGAGTAAAGCTTTCTTGCGGTGATGATTTTGCATTTAACAGCTGAAATGCTGTGGCTGCCTGTGACAGAGAAGGCACAGATTCCTGTTCTCAGGCAGTTTGTCGTGAGGTCCTGGGTACAGCACAGATTCCAGGCTTGCCCACACAGGGAAGCAGACCCAGAGGGTTCCTGCAGCTTCCCACAGAGCTTCCCTCTGTTCATCACGGGGATATTCATCTATATTGATCTGTACCAAAGCAGAGGCTCATTGCTTTTTAAATTCACAACCCACCTACCAGGGGATAAATTTTACCACCGTTTGAAAACACACAGAGAATGATGTAACTGAAAGAAACAGCTCAGTACCCAGCAGATTTCTTTAGTCACAGTTCAGAGGTAGTTGGCATTTGCCAACTGTGTAGGCCAGGTAGTTTTCCAGTGCACCATTTAGCTGACTGGCATGAAAAAAAAAAAATCAGCATCTCCCAGTTTTGTGGAAAGAAAAAAGCACAGCATTTATTCACACTTTGCTTGTGAAAGGAACAGAAATACTGTTCTTATGCATGAACCAGCAGCAATTCCTGATCCCTTTAGGAGGCAGTGGAAAGGCACAAAGACATCTAGAAAAAGGTGAAATACCATGAGCACAGAATCCTCAAACCTGGCCAACCAACCTATTGTGCCTCTAAGCCTGTTCATGCCAACTTCTGCACACACCTGTCCCTTGGGAAAATGAAATCTCTGGATCAGAACAGCAACAGATTATTCTTTTTAAGCAGCAGCACCAGCTCTGCCTACAGAGGCCTGTGCTAAGCCAATGTCATCAGCTCTGCCCTGCACAACCCCTCAGGTGACTTGGAACATTGGAAACTCTTCCAGTGCAGACCAAGAATAACCACCTGGAGTAAAGACTTTCACTGAAGAGCAATGGATTGTTTTAGGCTTCACACAGTTTTACAGAGGGCTGCCAAGCCAAGAACAAATGCCCTGTGCTTTGGACAGGACAAAGTAAATTCAGGCAGGAGCTGGGGCAGCCGAGGGAGCCCAGAGGACAGAGAGCAGTGAAGCAGCTCTGAGAACAGCTCATCCAGGTGCTGGGCAGGGAATGCCACTGTTAGGTGAGGCATGGAGGCTCCTTCTCCTGCTCTGGAGAGGAACTGTCAGTTTAGATCCCAAGTATCAGGTTATGCAGAAGCAGCAAGATGGGTATTTTGTTTGGAAGAGCAAGTCACCAAAACAGACAGCAGGGCATGTGAAAATGCTCACTGTCAGCTGCAAGTGCTTGTAGCAAAGAGATCGCTCGGGGATGAAACGGTGCAGCCCAGCTTCACTCTCAGCATTCACTTCTCTTCTACTGTTTCCCAGCTGTAACTGCTTCACCCTTGCACAAAACCCCCTCCTCTTGCTAATTGCTCCTCAGATGACTCTTGTACTCCCAACCCCTCGCTACCTTCCTCTTGCCCCTTCCACCACCATCATCACTGAGGGTAAAACCCCAATTCCAGGGATGCCCTCCTGGGAGAGGTGGCCAAGTAGCATCACACAGAGTCAATCACAAGAGACCACACTTACTGTGCAAATACTTACTGCTGGTGCACACCCTGACAACAACCAGGTGTTACCAAAGCACCCCCAAAACTACTGCAGGTTAGTAAGAAACAACCCTTTACCTTCTCATGAGCATTTCTACATCAGCCATCTCCACTGTTTTCCTCCCTGCATGGCTGGTGTAAGCTTCCAGATCACTGCTCAGCTGCTTGAAGTACTTCTCAGAGCTGAAGGGGGAATGGGGAGGGAAATCAAATTGGGCTGTGGATTGTGTGAACACACCAGCTGCTCCCCCACTTCTGCAGGGCAAATTGCACTGGAGCTGCTCGTTGTGCAGGTCACAGCCTGCCAGGGAAAACTGGGGGAGAAGAAACTCTCCACCTCGGGAACAAAGCTTGGCTTCTCAGCCCAGGCTCCCTGGAACTCCACAGCCAAGATAGGTGTGAAACAGCTGCACATCTGACAACCAGAACCTCTCCCAGACTTCCCACACATGCAGGAACAGGGGTTGACACCAGTCAGAGAGAAATCAGCTCTGATAGTCAGACTACTGGCTCTTATGGTGACACTGTTCAAACAATCCACAGATTTTACTGATGAAGATAACATGGTTTATAGATCCAAAAAGGTGAGAAAACCCAGACTCCAGTGGAACACTGCACAGCTGGGACACCTCCACTGTGCCCAGCACAATGACCATTACCCAGAGCCATCCTGCTCATGGTGAATGATAACAAGGCTGTGACTGGTACAACCTTTTGTGACAAACCCAGATGCTCCTGCAAGGCCAGGTTGGTCACAGATACATACACAGCAGCCCAAAGCACTTAGCACATTTCTGCCCTTGTCTTCAGACCTCCCATGACTCTTCCCAGCTGGAAAGGAAGGGCTGTCAGCTTGTCAGCAGCACTTCCAACAAGCTTATTACTTCAGGTGAGAAAATAAAATAAAATAAAATAACAAAACAAAACACTAAAAAGAGTGGGAAGAACAGTTTGTTGCTACTTACCATTTTTCAACAATTTTGAATGCTTCTCTGGTCACTGGCATTTTTACAAAATAGCTAAAAACCTCCTTTATCAAACTCCTTGCTATTTGAGGCTCCCGTGGTTTCCTTTGGGACGTTCCTGATCTCCCTGGAACTTGCTTAGGCTGCAGCAGCTGCACGGGAGACCTTGGAGGGAAATTGAAAATTCACATACGAAGTGAACAAGGCCAGGGGAGATGCAGAGAACACCAGGCTGAGTTTGGACAAACCTTATGCTGAACTGGAAGGGGTAAGAACTACCTCGTGCTCTTTCTCCCTCCCAATTCCTCAAAACCCTCATGCCCAGGCAGGACAGTTTGCAAACAGTTCATGTGGCATCATGACCTTGAGAGAGGCAATCCAGAGACTGCCTGTTTGTGTGACAGACTGTCAGCAAACCCCAGCTGTCTCCAACACATGGCTGCAGTTCCCACTGCATCCCTGGAATATTCCCTCTCCAGGAGTGCACGAAGTTGGAGGCATCCACAGATCACCTCTGTATCTGTGGACAGAGGAGGCTGCTCTGCAGAATACAATTCTACACTATTGCAAACTTCAGTGGGTTTATTCTGTGGGGTTTGATTGGTTGTTTGGGTTTTTTCCCCCTTAAACAAGACTGTAACTCCAAAGGAAGTTATACAACCGTTTCCCATTCTAAAAAGGAAAAATTGTAATATGAATTAAGTGAAATCCACGGATTCACTCAGTACCTGATTGGAAAACAACAGAAAAAACTTAGAACCTCAGGCTAACCCACAGAGGGAGTGCATGGATCACTTGACTCTCTCCAGCCCACCTGTATGTGGGCACAAGAATTTGGTCTTCTTGTTTATTGCTTTGACAAACAAAAATCTAGAGTTATGGGCTAGAAAATTCCTCCTGTTCCCTAGGACCCACTGGTAGTGGTTCTGATGAAGCATACAGCTTCACTGAATTTCTAGTTAAGATGGTGCCAGTGTTAATTAATTTGGAGTAAAGCAGAGAACAGGTTCACTTTCTGCCTCTAAGAGAGCTTCATTTTATAGTCAGCACGTGGCAACTGCACACAGCTTTAGGCTTCTGCAGTCAATGCAAGTATGTCATTCCATGTGATCAGCATCTTGTCATCTCTAATTCCCCCTCATCTGCAAGGGCCTCTGCATCCCATAACAGACTCTATGGTTCCAGAGTAGCTCACCAGTGGAAAAATTCCTAGGGAAAGCTTTTGACCTTCAGCACAAGAAAATATTACAAGAACATTTATTGGAAATACTGAAGGCATCAGATCTGCTCTGGAAGATTCACTAGATTCACCCTTTACTCAGCTGCTGCAGCAGTGGACGATCCAAAACCTCCAGGACTCCTCACTCCCTGTGGCAGCTGGCAGAGCCCAGGGCAGCTGGCAAAGCCAGGCTCTGCTCTTCCCCCTGGACACTGACACCCCCAGACACTCTCCTGCCAGGCCACTGCCTTAGACTTACCTGGGAGCAGCAGGTTTTTCATCCCATGGAGCTGACAGCAGGGGGTTGTGGGCTGCAGCACGGACAAACGCAGGCGTCTTCATGGAAACCTCTGGGGGAAAAAAGGACTTGAGGAACTGAACTCTCTTCTCAGAGCTCCTGCAGCACCCAGTGCTGCTGCAGCAGCAGAAACCCAACCAGCTTCCCACAGGGCTGGCCCAGAGCACACTGCCTGTGCTCCAGCTGTGGCCCCACGGCACCTGAGCCAGCACAGCTGCTGGTTGCTGCAATGCCAGATTTTATAACTCCCTCCAGCCAAGGCTCATGTGATCAGCATCTCACCTCTTCTCTGCTGGGAACTGCCCATACCAGTTTCCTCCAAGTCTAGTCTGCACTGTCTAACTTCACTCTCGAAATTCTTCACTTCTTAACAAGTGAGAGCAGGAAAGAAAACAACATTAACAGAACCGAAACACTGAGCACCTTCCTGCCTGGAAGAGGAGTGGTCACGCAGGGCTTCTTGCCTGATAGTTTCCCTTGCAAGCTGAGTTCAGCCCAACAATCCAGCCTGTCTGTAATGGTGGCAGCTTCCCAAACATGCCCTAAGAGCTCAGACACCTGTCCTGTTACAGAAGCCAAGCCCAACTACTAGGGGCTTCAGGTACTACTGAGAGTTAAACTCCCCAGCTGGAAGGGTCAGAGATCTCTTGCAGAAAGCAAGGCTGGGTGAACTACCGTGGCTGCCTGCATTAGCTTCTCCTGAATAAACATCTCTGTGCACTGGAGGAACATGGATCAGGATGCAGGGAAAGCGACGAGTTATCCTGAGATTTCTGAGGCAAGATTTATGACAAAAGTACATAATTTTTCCTCTTTCCTGACTCTCCTTGTCCAATGAGACCTGTAAGGTGCTACTCATACTGTTCCACCCAATGAGCAGAGATCTGCAGCCAGATCTTCCCATCTCTTCATACAGCTGTGTACAAGATAAGCAACTGCAGACACCCTAAGAACACCTACAGCTTTTTCTTGTGGCAAAAGGGTATCAGTTCAACTTCTGGCTTTGTGCACACTGCACAAATACACAGAGACATCAATATTCTCATTGCAGCTGAATACACCTGAAATCCTAGTAATGGGATTTTAGGATGTCCTTAGTTCAGTTTTTTTTATTTCAGGGTGTATTGTACTTCAAAAGACTTTAAGACCAGTCCCAGAAGACATCACTAAAACATACTCTGGGCATTCTCAAACATGGCCTTGATCAAAGAGAACTCAGTCTGATGGATCAGTTCTTCCAAAAGGCACCAGCACTGATGCAGTGTCTGAAGAACTGCTTAGAAACTCTCAGCTTTCTGAAAAACCAGTCTACTCTTTTTGTTAACTGGACAGGAAACCTGTAACTACATCTACAAAATACAGGGTTCTAAATTAGGTTTCAAGTCTGGAGTCACGTAGATGCCTGTGCAAAACAAGACTTCAAGGCTCTAAGACACTAAAAAGTTGGCCTGAAAATAGGAATCGGGAAGGAAAGAACAGAATGGAGCCTGTGCCAATGTATAAACCCACTTTGCACTCAGTTGCACCTGTTTTGTGCACTTCCATCATCTTCACCTCAAAAAGTACAAGATGATCTTGGTCCCTGAAGCACCTGATGAGCCAATAACAATCTGGCCCTAGAAAGAGCAGCCAACAGCTTCCCCTGTACTCTCCGATGGACTAAACAGTTAAAAACATTATTAACCCGTTTTTCCTCAATCTGGGAGAGATAACAGGGAAAATTTTCTCCAACTTCCTCTGCTACTGCTGCAAGTCTCTTACCTTGACTTTCAGGATGTTCACTTTCATCCTCAGCAGGCTCTTCCTCTGGATCATCCAAATCTAACATGATAGCCTGGTCCTCTAGCACGTCTTGTTCATCATCTTCCTCTAATGGATTCATCCCAGATTTTTCAGATGAGGAGAGAGCATCAGAATGCCTGTCCAGACTTCCAGCTCCAACACCTTTGGCAGTTTCATGTTCTAGATTTCCAAAACAGGAAAAACACAGCACTGAAACAAGTACCAGAGACAAAATTTCAGAGCACTCATAGCAATGAAATCCAACTTGCAATTCCTGACAACCACCTACTACCTTCCCATCTGCAAGGATTGGGGTTGGTACACAAAGCCAGATAAACTGAAGCACTGATGAATCCTCGACTTTTCCCTCTGCTACATCCAGGTGTGCAGAGGTCCCACAGAAAAAAAGCCCTTGGTAATGTGAAACCCAAGAGATTTGAGTGAAATTTTTATCTCCTTTTAAATTAACTTTCTTTAATAAGCACTTCTAACTCAAAAGGTCATACCAAAGCCTTCACTGCAGTATGTTGACTACAGAAGACCCAGCAATGTAGGAAAAGTAACTTGGGAGATGCCAATTTGTCAACTCACTCAGAAGGTCTCTGAATTTTTTCAATCTTTGCCTGATCCTGGAACTTCCACCAGTAAATTTTAACTAAAGATGCATTCTGCAATTACCTATTTCTAAACACTACTGCCAGTGCAATTTTGGTTTCCCTTTGGGCAAAACGCAGTCTTCCAGCTTAAAATGACAAAGTTAATTTGGCATGTTCCCAGTACTTAGCCCAGATTCCAGAATGCAAAGGAAGGGCAGTCTTTCTCCCAGCTGTGATGCCAGTCATGCAGCCTGGGAGGTCTCTGCCATCAGGGATAACCATCAGCATTAGGGGCTGTGCTCACCAGCCCCAGGAGACACGTGGGGTCCAACGCTGCCTTCTGCCAGTCCCTCTCCTGCTGAAGGAGCTGTGTCTGTTTTGTCTCTGCTGTCCTGTGCTGCAGTTATCTGCAATTCTGCTTCTTCAGCCAGCTCCTTCTCCAAGTGTTCAGAATACCCAGCACTTGCACCATGTTCTGCAGCTAAAACAGGCAATTCTATCATACATCTTACCTACCAAAAAATCCCCCGATCAGCCACCAGCACACAGTTTAACAACCACTGAAATGTATTTGTGATAAGTAAACTCAGCCAAAAGCTATAAATAAGGGAAGCAGATGCAGTTGCCTTTACAGCTGAGAAATGCCCAACCTTTCCTGTGTTTGCTTTACAGCCACCTAATTAGGGAGCACGTCAGATCCAAATGAAGAAATTTTATTTACTTACAGTAAGCAGAACTCTTCCAGATCTGCCATCTCTACAGCCATTCTCACTTCTGGTGACTGTGTGAAAGACCAATTTCTTTTCCTTTAAGTCTAACAATACCTGGAGTTTGTGCTCAGATTCTCCTCCTCATTTCCTCAGTTTTTCTGAATAAACAGCTTTGTAAGAGATATATTCCATTGTAAGAAGAAGAATGCCTAGCAGTGGTTTTAACCATCCCAGACAAGCCTCTGGCAGGCAGGATGAGGAGAAATATAGGGACACTTGTCTTGCCTGTCTTCAAAAACTTTAGCTACTGAAGTGCCAAACAGTATTTAAGTATTCCTTCTTCCTGCATACTAAATCTATAGTCCACACATCTGTTATCATGTAGCTCAATTCCAGCAGAAACCCACACAGGTAATTACTTGGAGAAATCTGGGCACTCTCACAGCATCATCACTTGCTGAAGAGTTTGGAAATCTTAGCTGAGTCCAGAACCAGAAGCTGTAAAAGTGAATTTTTACCATCCTCTCCACTAACTGGGAGTTTTCACACTCAAAATACAAGTTTTTCAAGGCCCAGGAGCCCCAAGCCCAAGTGAAGGGGACAAGGAAATCTGGCCAAAGGTGGTGTGAAAATCAGTTATACCAATCTCACTAACCACAATGACTGGGCTGCCCACACCAATGCAGGGCCTAAAGTGAAGAGAAATATTAACTAGCTTTGTGAGAAGATAGAAGCTCAACATGACACTAAGCCTCCTTGGGCTGACAGGCAGCAGTGATTCTCTCACCCTGCTGGATCACTGCTGGGATAACAGTGGAGTACCAGATGCTGTTGACAGATTCAAGCATAATTTTTACTGATTTCTGCACTTTGCTGCTTGTAGCAATACCTCCTGTGAAAATGAAATTCAGCAGAACACAGGAACCTGTGTCCACACCTACCCAAAGCTTTATGTACTGGACGGGTAACACCAGCCACCCCCAGCAGGGTTTATTCTAACGCTTATTCTAAGGCAAAGAGAAAACCAAAAATGTGCCTGTGGAAGCAGGAAACTTCCACGACTTGCTGTCTTCCAGGAACAGGAGGTACTAAGGCCCAACCTACCAGTGACAACCTTTATTACTTAAGTGAGGGCAGCCTTCAATCCCTTGGTTTAAGAGCAGAAGATGCTGGTTAGTACTGGAAAAAGATAATGGCCAACATGGCCTAAATAAATACAGCAGAGCAGTAAAATGTACACAAAGAAGGAGGGATCAGCCAGAGGTATTCCTTGCCAAGAGGGAGCTCTACATCTTTCCTATGGGGAGGTGAGCAGTACTACAGAGCTACCAAAACATATTAACCTTTATTCCACTTGCAGTCCCAGTGAACAAAGCAAATACTGGCAAGGAAGCACATGAGCAAGTCACAGCCCACTTTTAGAAAGCTTGTCTAGGAATGCCCAGCATCTCTGATACGATCTGAATTAAATTCTCTCCAGCATCTACTGCACAATAAAGTCTTACTTTACTCTGAGAGTCACCTGAAAAACCTTGAATCAGATTATACTCCGTTCCCTTGCAACACTGAATGCACTTCTTACCCTCTCTGAAAAGCTTTTCCTGTTCCACTCCATTCACTGTATTAATCATCTCTTCTTCTGAATCACTTACTTCCAGATCTTCAATTATTTGGGACACAACTTCTCTCAAAGACATGCTGGAAGAATTTAGAGTGACTGGGGATCCCAAATATTTACTTGAACTTCTGGATGACAGAGAGGAGCTCAATCTACAAACAGCTAAAACAGAGAATTAATGTGTCCCCGGTATCTTTTTAAACTTGCTTTTAGCTTTCCTCATAAGTAAAAAAAAACACCAAGCAGGGAGAGAAAGACAACCCAAGAAAACACTCTTCCTTTACTTGAAGCAGTTTAGAGAGTTCACAGTGTACCTTGCAACTGTTTTTCAGTTCACCCTGAGGAGCAACACTGAGAGCAGCCTCCTTTGGTAAAACAGAACTAGGTCACCATTAACATCTGACATTATTGCCTTACTAACTCCAGCATCTTTAAGATATGCTCACTCCCCCTCATCTTCCTCTCATTTCATCCAGTCCCCTAGTCCACATCCTCCATGCTTTTCTCTGCATTATCTATCCTTTTGTCCTAAAAATGCCTGACATTGGACTCTTCAGAGCAACTAACTGCTTTCTGTTCATGCCTTCCCTTGTCCTTTCAAAACAACTTTTGCCTGGTCCAAGCAATATGAGGAAAACGTGTTCCCATTTACACAGCCAGGACAAGGGATTTCCATGGAAATGAAGGCTGAAGAGAGATACTAGACACCAGGGAAAAACTGGCAAAGCATTGGTACAGAGTGACCAGGGAGGCTACTTCCTCTGTTCAAGGGATTTTTAAGGCCCAAGAGACAATGAAGCTGTGACAAGTAAGTGACCACACCAGAGTAAAGGTCTAGACTCGTAACTCCCTGAGATTTTTTCCACATCTGTCTACATGTCCTACGTATCATCTCTGTTAAACCCAAGTCCTAATCCACAGTACTCACGGCCAGTCACCTCCTCTTCATGAACAGAAACCTGCTCCGCTGGGTTACTCTGCTGGGAATGATCTTGCTGATCTTCTTGCTGGTTTGCAGGTGTTCCTGGAGATACAGGAGCCATTCTGTCAATGTGCTCCTGATCAAGGCCCGAGTTCTCAGAATGTCTTTGTGTCCTTTCCTCATTTGTGCCCACACCGGATACCAGACCCTCCGGCCTTGCTGTGTCTTGAGCTGCATCAGAAATCTTGCTCCTCTGTGCTGGAGTTTTTGAATGTGACAGCTGGGGTTCAAGAGCAGAAAGTTTATTTTGGCTCCGTTCATTCAGCTGAGGCTGAACAAAGAGCTCCGTGTTGTTCAGCACGATCTCTGCATCACTTGTCATCATGGTTGTTCGAATCCCAGACGCGGACTGCGAGTCCACAAGACAGTTCTGTGCTGTTTAGAAAGTTTTAAAACAAGTTTTATGTGAAAAACTGTTCAAGGTCATAGGGACACCCTTTATTACCAGGACTTGCATCGTTCAAAATCTAAGTCATTCAACCAAATCTTACTCATCCTCAACAGACCCAAAACTGAACCTGCATGACCCCACTTCAGCACCCCCAACTTTCCCAAACTGCAGAAACCCCAGTACCCACAGATGAAGATGATGGCAAACGATTCCTGTGATTTAAGTCACCCAACTGGGCAAAGCACACATTTAAGTGCACAGAGTCAACTACAGAGGCAGAGCCTCATTCTAATCTCGGTTCCCAAATCACACTCTACCTCTGTGAGCGTGTTAGTAACCTTATAGCTGCAAAACACAGGCCACGCCTGAGTAACTGCTTTCTAAAAGCCACCTTAGGAGAGGCCCTTCCTCCCAAAAGAGAAATAACAACACAAAAGGAACCATTGCTCTTCAGCATGTTCTGTTCCACTCCGCCCTCGAAAGCTTCCATGTCAATGGCTTTGCGGTTCCTCGGCCTCCGGAGCAAACCCCTCTTCTCAACAGTGTCCGGGGCCATCAAGGAACCAACAGACATACGGAGGGATCTGTGAAAACAGGAGGGAAGAAATCATTTGTCAGCATCACACACCCTCAGACTACAGGCATGGTGGTACTAACAGTGAGATATATGACAAAGCCAGGAGGAATTTCCCAAAAAAAAGCCTTGAGGATTAAATGTCAGTCTTTAAACAACTGGTTTAATTTCACAGTATCAGCCAGCACCAGGATATGTATCATCAGGATATGTATCAGGAAACACTGTTTTACAGCCTTCCTGAGACACTGCAACACTACAGCTGACAAAAGGTCAGAACTTTTAAAAATTTTAAATAACAAAAAAAAAAAAAAGGGAGAGCAGATGTTTGAGATGACAGCAGGGTGGTAGGAGGACTTCAGAGCACGTTTAAGAAGCTGCTTAGTGTCAATGACCACCCCAAAGTACAGCTACCAACACACTGTGACTGTTCTGAGATGGGAGCTAAGATACCAACATGTAAAGCACAGGAAAAGATGTTTCTCACTGTACATATTTTGCACCCTGGACACTGACCATTCTCAAATACCTCCTGTCCCTTTCTCTAGGCAGCCCAATCAAAAGGGGGGTTCAGAGGCTTCAACAAAGACAGAAAGTATGGAATTCAGCCCCAGGAAGCACCTTGTGTGGCACCAAAGGCCAGGGCTGCAGTGAGAAAGGCGAAATAATGTGCTGACTTTGCAAACGTGCTGCCCACTTGCAAAGAACACAGGCAACACAAGAAAGTTCTTTGACCTGCTAAAAAACTTCAAAGGTCCAGAAAATACTGCATAGATGCAATTGATGAGATGAGACAATAAACAGGCAAGGATAATTTTCTATTTTGTACTGAGTTATTGTTGGAAACACAAGCTACTAATACAAGACCATGCTGGGCACACAGAGCAGAGCCACAATTTCTGTGTGTGGTGCAACACCTCCAAATTCCATCAGCAGAGGGGGATGGTCTTGTTACTGCCAACACAGGTCTTTACCATGAACCCAGGTATCTGTACTGTTCTTCACAGCTCCAGGTGTGATCAAAAAAGAAAGCAGCTAGACTCAGGACAGCCAGAAGTTAAGACATTTTAGATTACTCACCGAAACAAAGTTGTGTTGTCCAGCGTTGACTGAACTAGAAAAAGTTGGTGACACATTAGTTGAGAAATTACCCTCTACACACTGGGCTACAGGAACACCCCAATGGACCCTCCTCTTTCCAGAGCCAGTCATGCTACAGTCCTCACATAAGTGCAAACAGAATTAGAAGACAGGTTCACTTCATTACTTCTTGTCTACATTAGAAAGCCAATAAGCAATTTATGAAAGGATAGGAAACACTTATTTCAAAGAAAATTTAACATGGTACATACCCTCAGATTCAATAATTTAAATTTTACCACATTCACAGCAAGCAACCCAAACAAGTGCATCTGGAGCTTTAGAAGAAAGTGGAACTCATGTACACACAGGCACAGAGTCTCTAATTCAGAGCTGAGGTACTGGTGTCTGTAACCTGGAGCTGAGTTCCTCCCTTGAGTTCTACTCCAGTTGCTACTCCAATAGGATACATACACTAAGGGGAGGTTTTTTATCTGCCTCTGGCAAACTGCAACTGAAATGAAAGCTGTATTTGCCAAATTTGCAAGTTTATGTTTAAAGGGAAGATTCGGTCCAATATAAAACATTATCTTTTACAAACCTATGAGAGCTTTTCTTCCCTCAAACAAGAACTTTGTAACTTATCTGATATAATTGCAACGAAAGGTATGCAGCTGCTTGTATTTTAAAGTTTTTGGAATTGAGAGGAAGTCAGGGATTGCTTCCTCTGGAGACACTTCAAAACTCAAAAAGCACCAAGTTGCAAAAGTAGTCAAGAAGTTTATATACAGTCAGGGCAGAGCCTGGAAATTGGCTCAGAAAGGCTTATTTTAAATTTGATAGAAGGGAGGGGGTTTACCTTCTCCAATATCCCCTTTGAATGAGATACTGCAATCAGGATTCCAAACCTACAACTGCCCAGCTGAGCAGCTCCTAATAACTGGACTGGAGGAGGTGAAAACCAGTTGGCAGCAAAAACAGCACTGAACAAGGTAATTTTTGACTGCAGCCTTACCTTGGTTCTGGAAAAGTCGTTTGTCTGCTGCTCTCTCAAATTCAGAAATGCTGACTTTCTTTCTTTTCTTATTCAAATGGAACACAGTGACAAATGTGTCTTCAGCAGCAAGGTCTGGCAGCTGCAATTCCCCCCTACCAAAACAAACCAAGCTGGAGAGGCATTTCGGAAAACCCCACCTGACAGGATGCAATTTTGATCACTGAAGCATGAGTAGAGAAGTTCTGCTCCCCAGTCCCACCATAGGAGCTGCAGCCATACCTGGCATATAATAAATGTAAAAATTATATTTAAAAAAAAAATCACTTACATGCTGGAAACCCTCTTAGATGGGAGTTCTGGACGAGCTTCTTCCGTCTCTTCATGGTTAGATATCCGAGGTTTCAGAGGTGAAACTTGGGGTTCTGCCAACAAACCAAAACATTTCCTTTCCACAATTCAATCCAGCAAGAACACCAAAATGCAGCAGAGTGTCACATCTACACCACAGGCTGTAAATTACATTTATTGATGGGTTAAAATAAAGACCTGGTGAAAACTCTCCGGGTTCTGCTCCTGGGAAGGCTGGCAGTGACAAAACCAACGGTGACAGATGGCAGCACGTCCTCTGTAACTCACTCCTGATCCTACAGCCAAAGGCAGCACCAGGATTATGTGCTCAGTCACCAGGATAAGAAGACCAAGTGAAGGGGATTTTGAAGAGGATTTTGAAGACTATTTCACCAATGCAAGGCCTGGCCTCTCAGACAGTTCTAGCCCACATTCAGCTGCAACTGCAGTGATTTCTCTCTTGCATTAACAGTCATAAAACGGTCTGACTTCTGTTCCACATAACAGGGTAAGGATAACGGGCTACCAAGGAACAACCTCTGCTCTCAACTCCACCAAAACACTGTCTTTCTGTTCTCAGTTCTCCTGAAAAAAGATACTTACGGGTCTGGATGACTCTCTTGAGCATAACCCGTGGTGTGTCATTGTCAGGGTCTGGGAACACTCTCAGTCTCCGCTTCCTCAAGGTGCTTCTGCGAGAATTACTGTCCTTCTCTGGATTTGATCCAGTCTAGACAGAAATCAGAGACAAGCAATTCAAAACCAGTATTTCCACCATTAAAAAAAAAGATCGCAGCATCAAAAGCATCCACCATCCATCTTCTAATGACAACATACGCCGGCTAACGGGAAACATTTTTCCAAATTCCCAAACAGAAATCGTGCACGTCTTCTTTTTGACAACACCGGCACTTCACGCGCGGACGGGAGGCAATTCAGCTCGGGGTGTCACCGGGGCGGGTTCCAACGCACAACCCTCCTGCGGACGAAATCCCGAGGGGCCTCAGAGCACAGCCGCGACGGGCCTGGCTGCTCGGCAAGCGCGACACTCAGGGCGGTCGGCCCATTTCCCACACGCAAAGGCGAACAAGGGCGAGGGGCTCGCTCGTCCCTCACACCGAGCGCGACCCGGCGGGCGACGCCCGGCGAGCCCCGCTGGACAGCGGCTCTCCTGTCTGTCTTTCTTTCTTACTTTCTTTCTTTCTTTCTTTCCCTCCCTCTCCTCTCCTCTTCCCCCCCGGGGCACCTGTGCCGCCGCCTGCGCCGTGTGGCGGCCGCTGCTCCTGAGGCCGGGCCGGTGCCGGGCCCGCCTGTCAGCCATGGCGGGGCCGTTACGCGCCTCCCGCCTCCCGCCGTCTCTCGCGAGAGCGGGCCCGCGGCGCAGTGTGGGGCGGGTAGTTCCGCCGGCGCCGCGGTGCATTGTGGCCCGCGTAGTTCCGGGGCGGCGGCGGCGGCGGCGGCGGCGGGGGCCGCGCGGGCCTTGTGGGAGCTGTAGTTCGGCGGGGCCGCTCGCCCCGGGCGCCGCGGGCGTCCCCCCGGCCCCGCGAGGCCATGCCGGGCTTCACCTGCTGCGTGCCGGGCTGCTACAACAACTCGCACCGCGACAAGGCGCTGCACTTCTACACCTTCCCCAAGGACGAGGAGCTGCGGCGCCTCTGGCTCAAGAACGTCTCCCGGGCGGGCGTCAGCGGCTGCTTCAGCACCTTCCAGCCCACCACGGGCCACCGCGTCTGCAGCGAGCACTTCCAGGGCGGCCGCAAGTCCTACCTGGTGCGGGTGCCCACCATCTTCCCGCTGCGCGGCGTCAACGAGCGCAAGGCTCAGCGGGCCCGGCGCCCCCGCCCCGCCGCCGCCGCCGCCGCCGCCCCGCCGGGCCCCGCGGCCGCCGCCGAGGCCCCTGCAGGGGGCGCGGCCGAGGACGTGAAGCCCATCGACCTGACGGTGCAGGTGGAGCTCGGGGCCGCCGACACCGTCGGGGCCATCCCCGCGCGGCTGCCGGTGCCGGTGCCGGTGGTGGCGGCGGCGGCGGCAGCAGGGGAGGAGAGCCAGGCGGAGGGCGGCCCCCCCGACCACTCGTACTCGCTGTCGTCGGGCACCACGTCGGAGGAGCTGCTGAGGAAGCTGAACGAGCAGCGCGACATCATCGCGCTGCTGGAGGTGAAGATGAAGGAGATGAAGGGCAGCATCCGCCGCCTGCGCCTGGCCGAGGCCCAGCTCCGCGAGGAGATCCGCGAGAAGGACCGGCTGCTCCACGCCGCCAGCGCCGGCACCCGCAAGCGCCACGGCCTCTGAGGGCGCCCGGCGCGGGGCTCTCCGTCCCAGAGTCCCCGCCGCCCTCGGAGAGGTGCCGGGCAGGGCGGGGGTGGGATGGACCGCGGCCCCTCAGCCCCGGCTGTCGCTGCCCGGTCCCTCCCGCCCGCGCCACAGCGGCCCCCAGCCGGGCGAGCCCTCGCCATCGGATCGCCCTGCCTGGGCTGGAAAAGCTCGGTGCCCAGCCCCGTTATCACCCCGACGTTACCCCCCGATGTTGTCACCTCACACCAGGCCCATCAAACCCGCTCTGTGCTGGCAGTGTCGGATCGCGCTGCTCGTAGCGTGGCTGGGGCCCGAGCCGTCACTGAGTGGATGTAGGATATCAGTTTTCGGCAAACAAACAAACTCGCTCTGTACCGAGTGAGGTAACAGCAACACTACCCTGGAGAAGGCGTGTCCGGCTGCCCGGGCACTGCACCCGCCATAGGAATGACCGGCGATGCCGCGTCCGGCCTCGCTCGGCGGAGGCACGAGGAAAGCTTTAGAAACCCTCTCAGGGTGATGTGTTCCTTCAGTAAATTACTGATGCCATAACAGACTGCTGTCCCTGGCGTGACAGAACCCCCAGATTAAAGAGTGCTCTTGTACCTTGTAGTTTCTGCTTTCTCCGCAGCGCGTGCGTGTTCGTTACGGGCGTCTCGATGCTCTCGGCACTAGGAAGGATTACAGACTGGGACAAGGAACCCGGTGGCATTTGACAGCTGTAGTTTATCTCATTGGCTTAAGACTCCTTCTAATGAAACGGAGGCTTTGTAACACGTTGGAATTTTAATCCTTGGCTTTCGTTCAGAGAACCGGGATGAAACAGAAGCGAAGCGAGTTCACCTGCAGTGGTTGCAAACCTTTGCTGTCTAATCCTCAACTAGTTGGCATGACTAATAATCTGTACATTAGGCAAGACCATACTGAAACCTGCTTGTGTGTTCTAAACCAAGATTTAAGAGTATTGTAACAAATCTGTGTGGAATGATTGTGTAGTTTCTGTTTCTAGCCAGCATCAGTCCCCTCACTTTCTGCGACAGGAAACCAAATCAGCGTTGGCTAGAAAGAGGGTGGAGTGAGGGTAGCAAGGCCACAAGTTTGGGTTGGTTATTAGTTCCAGCTTAGCTGGTGGAACAGATACCTCAGCACCCTGGAGGAGGAGGAGGAAGAGGAGGAGAGTATCTGGTGCCCCAGCAGAGCCTTGTGGCGATGCATCGATGACAGTGGATGTTGAGAACAAAAGGCACTTCACCACACTGTGCCCACATTCACCTTCGAGCGAGGAGTGCCCAGGGGTTTCCTGGGTCTGTGAGATCCTTCTGGAACCCGAGTGTGTTGCACTCGGTGGATTGGGATGTCACTTTTACTGAATTTTATAGAGGTATTTTCTAAGTGTAAAAAGTATCTTTAGTTTGAAATTATGTAATCTTTGTAACACTGGCTAATGTAGCTTTACAACCATCAGCTTCAACACTGTGTAGGACCGAACAAAAGGGCACTGTGGGGTTTGGTAGCCAGAGGTTTCTCTTTTGATCCTGGAGCCTGTTCAGCTCCAGGCTGTCCCAGCCTGCTATGTGATGCATGGGTCATTTTTCTATTGTGTGCCAAGTTGGATGGTCAACTGTAAGGATACTTCATGTCTATCCATGTACTAAGTACTTCCTGTTATTTCATTTTAATTTATTCTCTCCAATCTGTAGCTCTCCAGCTCCATGCTACACTGATTTTCCTGCGAGTCGAGTTAGCAGCAGTTTTTCTGTTTGGTTGGTTTGGCTTGTTGTTTTGGTTTCTTTACTGTAGGACAAGCAGATACTTGCTCCAACATTGGATTTAACATATGAGATTGGTCCAGCAGATATAGATGCTTCCATCAAGACAATAGGCAGCACAACATCCCTCCTGACAAACGAGGCCGGTTGTGCATCCTAGAGTGTTGAGAATGTGCATGTCGTGACAGTCGTGGTACTTTTTTACCATTGGGATGCACTTCAGGATGTTCAGCCATTTGGCCTGCTGGACTGGTTACCTGCTGGACTGTTTGACTTCTCCAGGTTACACTGAGGTGCTAACATGCTTAATTTTAATAAAGTATATTTTGTTTTCTTACGTCTCCCGTCTCCGTGTGGTGGATATATGTATTTCTGAAAGGTTGGCAGCTGTGTCTTGTTTTCTCTTTGTCATTCCTCAAGAACTCCATGGCTGGAACAGCAGGAATATCTTTACACTCATGTAGGGTGAGGAAGAGGAGTCTGAGACTAATAGCTCTAAACCAATCTGAAACCAGGGACTTTGGGATGTGGAATTACGATTTCAAAGAAAGTACATGCAAGCTCTCCCCTACCTTAGGCTGGTTCATGGAGGGCCATGCCTTCTCCTTCCTCCATCACGCCTTAGACAGGAGGAAGGGAAGCCTCCAGTCTCCAATAATTGTAAGCAGCAAAAAATTTCAGCTGTGGCTCAACTGTCACATTTTTTGGGTTGAACTGGGAATTGTTAAATGAAGCTGCGGGACTGGGGAGGGGATTGTCCTGCTCTGCTCAGTGCTGGTGCAGCCTCACCTTGACTCCTGGGAGTAGATTTGGGCACCACAGTATAAAAAGGCTATAAAGCTTTTAGGGAGCATCCAAAGATGGTGAAGGGTCTAGAGGGGAAGCCATACAAGGAGTGGCTGAGGTCTCTTGGCTTGTTCAGCCTGGAGAGGAGACTGAGGGCAGAACTCACTGTGGGCTGCAGCTTCTTCACAAGGGGCAGGGAGGGGCAGCTCCTATCTCTGCTCTCTGTGACAGGACCCCAGGGAACAGCTGGAGCTGTGCCAGGAGAGGTTTAGATTTTAGGATATTGGGAAAAGGTTCTTCACCCAGAGGGTGGTCGGGCACTGAACAGGCTCCCCGGGGAAGTCACAGCACCAGCCCTGACAGAGCTCAAGGAGCGTTTGGGCAACGCTCTCAGGTACAGGGTGGGGTTGTTGGGGGTGTCCTGTGCAGGGCCGGGAGCTGGACTGGGTGATCCCTATGGGTCCCTCCCCGCCCAGGATACGCTGCGGTTCTGTGAGTGTTGCTGCCCGCGCCCACCGCCGGGCCCCGGGAAGGCGACACATTCCCGGTGGGCCCCGAGCCGCGGGTTCCGGGCCGTGTACGGCGGGGCCAGGGGGGTGTTCAGCGGTGTCAGGATGGCCGAGCGGTCTAAGGCGCTGCGTTCAGGTCGCAGTCTCCCCTGGAGGCGTGGGTTCGAATCCCACTTCTGACAACTGGCTGCTCTTTTGCTCGTCCCTTTCCGTCGGTAAATCGTTTTTAATTGCGGCGCGTCGTTTATTTTAATGAGGCTCCCGCCTCCTCCCAGCCAAAACAGGGCGCCGGGCGGCGCAAAAAGGAGCTGTCAGAAGTGGGATTCGAACCCACGCCTCCAGGGGAGACTGCGACCTGAACGCAGCGCCTTAGACCGCTCGGCCATCCTGACCTGCCGCGGCTACGCTTCCCCGAGCCGGGTCCCATCACACCCCGGACGCCGTGTGGGGGCCGGGCGGGGCCGGGGGTGATACCGGGTCCAGCCCCGCGTAACGTCTCCAGTAACGACCTCCGTGATGACACCAACGGGGAGGACGGGATAATAGTCCAGAGGGTCCTGCTGCTACCCACAGGGACCTGGATAGGCTGGAGAAATGGGCTGACAGGAACCTCCTGGAGCTGAGGGTGGTGAGACCCTGGCACAGGTTGCCCAAAGAAGCTGTGGATGCCCCATCCCTGCGAGTGTCCAAGGCCAGGCTTGGAGCAACCTGGCCTAGTGGAAGGTGCCCTGCCCTTGGCAGGCGATTGAAACGAGGCGCTACAAGGTCACTTCCAACCCAAACCGTTCCAGGATTCAACAAGGAATACCGTGTGTCGCGCGGCCCCCGGGGGGAGCAACGCCAGGCACCGGGATGCGCTGGGGGACACGGAATGCCCCCGGGGCACCGAGCGGGACACGGGCTGCGCACAAGGCTCGTAGTGTCCCAGACAGAACATCGCCAGGACGGGAGGAGAGCGGGGGGGACTGTCCCGGCGGGGGCCGCCCTTTGTCGCCGGTCCCCCGGTGCGGGGACATGGCGGGGCCGGGCGGAGGCAGCGGGGCGGGGGCAGCGCGGGGCTCGGCCCGGACCCGCCCGCGGAGGGGCCGTGCCGGGGCCGTGCCGGTGCCCGCGGCATGGCGGGGCTGCCCGGTGCCACGCGCGCCCGGAGCGGCTCCCCGGGCACCGCCCCGGCC